CATAGCATAACATAGCATAACATAACATAACATAACATAACATAAAAAAAAAACAAAACGTGCTATAACGTACGATTACCTTAATTTATTAAGGTATGACAAAAGATAGAAGCGGCAATACAAAGCCATAGCTGAGGAATGCATCAACCGGCAACGAGTTACCACCGGCCGCAGACCCCGGCCCAAGGACAAAGTACTGAACATGGTTTAAGGTTACTAAGGGTTTTTTAAGGGTACTCTTTGGGCCCTGTAATTGTTCCGTTTCGTTAGCATGATGTTCAAAAGCATGGCATTGCTTTCGGGCGAGTTATGGGCTTTTTGCAGCCTGCACGGGTGTTATGAGACATTTTGTTGAACTTCGTGACCGTCAACGAGTCAGTGCAGGAGGCAGGACATTTCTTGATTCATTCATGTGGGTCTTTGTAGTTTCTATGCAACTCTGATTATTATCACTACTACTCTTACTATCCTTATGCTGATGGATTTGTGTATTCGCATTATTTCATGCTCCCTATCCTGTTCATGACCTGTGGGTTCTTGTACTGCTTAGGGTGTACACTCACGGCCCATGTCATGTCTCGCGCTGATCACACAAAGCGCCGAAATAGAAAATCACCCCAAAAAGGGCTTAGGGTTTAGGGGTTTAGGGTTTAGGGCTTGGGGTTTAAGGTTTAGGGTTTCAGTTTCAACACTGTCTAGCAAACTGTGGGACTCACTGATTGACTGGCTCCATGCTTTTCCCTAAACGCGATTGCCAGGCTACAAAGCCAGCAAGCCGCAGACCGCAGCCAGCCTCAATCTAATCCCTGAAACCGGGCAGCCTGGGCGGGCAAGTAGTACGGAGAAAACCTCAGAAGACGCCAACGAGAGACCTCCACAGCTCTTGCCATTAGCTCTTACTTGGAGGTTCATGGGTAGTTATAAGCAGGGGTATAAGTCCCCTACTGTGGGTTATAGTTATAGTTACCCTACTTGTAACTCCACTTATAACACCCTAAACCCTAAACCCTAAACCCTAAACCCTAACTACCCATGAACCTCCAAGTAGGCTTCGTGGAAGCTTCACGTCTGCTTCAGCCACACTCTACGGTCTTCACTCGAGCAGGTCGTCATTACGAGAAGAGCCGATGGTCCCAAGAAGAAAGGTTGATATGTATATATGTATATACTACATATAATATAACATGATATGATATAATATAGTATAATATAATATGATATGATATAATATAGTATGATATGATATGATATGATATGATATAATATAATATAACATAATAGAATATGTTTCGGGAACCCCATGGCCCTGGGGCCCTGGCTTTGCATGCTGCTTGGCCATGGCCACGCCCGAGGCTTCCTTCTTGGCTTCGTGCACCTCGGCGCGTTCCACGGCAGGGCCGAAACAAACCCTAAACCCTAAGCCCTA